AAGGAAGGAAGGAAGGAAGGAAGGAAGGAAGGAAGGAAGGAAGGAAGGAAGGAAGGAAGCAAAGATGGAAAGAAGGAAGACTGATTCACAGAAAACCATTGTCCTGGTTAGCATTACATGCCAGCTCAACACAGCCTAGTATCACCTGGGGGCAGGGAGTCTCAGCTGAGTAATTGTCTTTATGAGGCTGGTCTGTGGACACGGTTGTGAAGGTGGTCTTGAGTTTTAATTGACGTAGGAGAGCCCAGCCACCGCAGGTGACACCATTCCCTGGGCAGCCGATCCAGGACTATATTAGAAAGCTGGCTAAACATGAGCCAGAGTGTACAGCAGAAAGCACCATTCCTTCACAGTTTTTGCTTCAGGCCCCTGCTCCAGTTCCTGCCTGGATTTCCCTCAATGATGGGCTGTGGCCTGGAAAAGTCATCCTAACAGCAAGGATTTCCTCCCTGAAGTTGCTTTAGGTGACAGGGTTTTGCCACAACAAGTGAAAGGAAACTAGAACCAGCCCAATTACATAAAGGGGTGAATGGGGCCCTATTCATTGGCTTATGTCATAGGGGCTAGGTAGTCCAGCAGGGACCACCTGCATGCTGGAGAAGCCACTTAAGACCACGAAGCTAGAATGTTAGAATAAGGCAGGCCAATGGCGTTGCTCGGGGGATGGGAAGGCTTAGAAAGCTTCCTGGGAGTAGCTGGGGTTAGTCCACACTGCAAGACTGAAGAAGCTGGAGTCTGGCATCTACAGGCAGCAACAGCAGCATAGAGGTCCTGGACGATGGAGCTGTTCCATGCGACTTTCTCTTTTGCCACTTCTACCCAGGCCTTGAGGCTGCCCACCTTGGTCATTCCCCATTGATTCCTCTCCTGTATATCAATCCTCTCTGGAAACATCCTCGTGCAAACACACAAAAATATGTTTTGATAATTGTGCATCTCTCTGCGTAGCCAGGTGGACAGTACTAACCAACAGAGGAGCATGTAGGCTTTTTCTGTTGGGATGGACCTAATCCTCAGGTGTGTACCACACTTATGTTCAAGGTTAAGAACAACCCCTATCATTTCCTCTTCCCTCGAAGAAATAATGGAACATGAACAGAGGACATCAGTATGACTGAAGAATAACCTGGAATTTGTTCTCATTTCTTTAAAGTCAAAGGCAAATCATTCAAAAATCCTGATTCCTAAACTTACCAATAAGTTTTAACTCACTGCAGCTGACTATGACTTGGCTGGTCCCTCAGCATAGACAGGAGCTGACAAACCGGCTTCTAGGAACCCATCAAATCTTAGTTAACTCCACAGTCCAGTCCAGTAACTACTTAATATTACATCTTAGTGTCTTTATTGTAACATGAAAATTTTTTGAATAAATGCTATGGACTGAATGTCTATTTTCAAATTTCAAATGGTAAAACCCAGTATCATAATATGTGGAGATCCTTAAAGGTAATTAAATCATGAGGATGGAGCCTTTATCATGGAATTATCATACTTACAAGACAAGGCACAGAGGTGTCTGCCCTCTGTCTCAAAACCCCCTAGCCACTTAAAGAAAGAGCAAAAAAGCCCAGCTGTATACAGATCAGTGAAAGGCCCCACCATACCCCACACCTACTGGCACTTTTCTTAGATGTCCAAGGTTTCAGAATCATAATAACATATTTGTGTTACTTAAGCCACCCACTCTGAGGTATTTTGTTACACAGCCTGAACTGACTAAGTGTCCGTCTCAATGCTCATTGTCCTACCCGAGGTCTGATTTTGAGTTCTCATTTGATTTTGAGGATGGTGTGAAGTTTGACATCCTGTGAAAAGCTAAACAGGACTCAGAATTTTACTAAATTTTCTATAGCTGAGAAAAAACATTTACCTCCCCTTCCTCTTTCCAATAACATCCCTCGCATCATGTTAGACTAAACTGGAAACTTCTGTCAAGCGTAAACAGGCTTCCTGTGTGGCTGGACTCTTAGCTGACTCTTGGGATGTGTATTTATTATTTGCAGAGCATGTCTCCTTCCAGAGACATAACTCCCCCATTCAGTAATGACTCTGCTCAGTCTATGAGGTTCAAGGGAGCTACACTGCTCTCCAGAACAGACTAACAACAAGAACCTAACAGTGCAGGCTTTGGAGGCTTTCAGCAGCTGCGTAGGCAGCACAGCTATAGCTCTGCTTCCCACCACTCAGTTAACAAAGCAGGATTGGCTGGGGTGCTTAGTAAAAAGCTGCCACACAAATCAAGGGCAGCTTTTTTCTTTTCTATTTTTTCACTTCAAATGTGGTATTCTAACCATTCTCTCATTAATCTTTGGACCCTTGATGTGTTCACATATCCTTCCCTGTGAACACAGAGAGATACTGAGGCTAGTCATGGTTCTGAGAAGTCAACAGCGCAACCAGTCAATGCAATAAAGCAGCCAAACACTGCAGCTGTTACAGAATGCAGGATGCGACCTGTCACACAAGCAGAGACTTGTGGGCTTAGATTTTTCACCCCAAGCCTACCTTATTTAGGGTTCTTAAATACCTTTTTCTCCCTTTTAACCATCCTCCCTCCCCCAACCTTAGGTAGGAGATGAGTAGGGAAAAGGGCTGTAGACCTCTTTTATGTACTTCCTGCTGATTAGGATTGATGGGTATTTAGTGGATTTACAAACTCAGTCTTCAAGATTCCAGCAGACCAGTCCAAAGGCCAACACGAAGCAGGAACACAAAACCAGCCAGAGCTGCAAGATTCAGTTGGAAATCCCCCAGAGAAGTTCTCTGGAATGTTTCTCTCTATGAAGTCAAGTATAGAAGCAGGAAGATCCGCGCAGCAATGCAGATCCAAAAAGCAATGTCTCATCGTGCCCACTGATAAGCCAACCTGAAACAAAACATTACATGACAAAACTGAGTCTTCAAGGAAGCCAGAAACTTCCACTTCAGAGAGTGATACCAGAGAGGCTTTCCAGAGCCTAATCAGTAGCAATGATGTGGGGGCAGAAATGTCACAAGGCAACACAGGAAATGTTCAAACAAGGGCCCAAGATGAAACCCAAAACCCTCTCCCATGTCTACATTAAAAATCATAGGATCAAAAGAACAAAGAAATTTAGTTAGTAGAAAAGTTATCTCTCATGAGGAACCAGGCTGGTTTATCAGAACTTCAACGAAATAAATCCCAAGATCATCTCCATTTTTCATAGTTTTTATGTGAGAGCCAATCTGTGATACTGAATATGTGGTCACGCTAGTTCAGCCCACCAAATGTGTTTTCTGTGTCCTCTGTGTCCTGGAGATTAGTAACAATGGGATAAGGAAAAAGTAAGCCCTATATTAAAAAGAGAGGTGTCAGAAAAGGTTGAGAAAGACCCCCAAGAGTCTTGGGTGACAGACAACTAAAACTTAACTGAGAGATTTTTAAGAGGAAAACAGTACAGGAGCAGAAATGAGAAAATGGTGGGTTGGTTGGTTGGTTGGTTGGTTGGTTGTTTGATTTGTTGGTTAGTTGGTTGATTTGACATCAGACTCATTAGAAATACTTTTGACTATAAGAAACAGCTCAGCCAGCAGAGTTCTCACAAAAGACATTTAGTTACTGTAGCATAAAATCTGGAAAAATGTGATTCAGGCAAAAGTAGTGGTTCAGTTCAGCCATGTCATCAAAGAGCCAGGCTCAATCCATTCTCTATTCCAGCACCCTTGACATACTGGCTTTTTATCTTTGTTATGATTGTTTTTTGTTCACGGTGTGGCTGCCACAGCTCCAGGCATCATTCTACATTCAGGAAATAAGAAGACAGGTATTGTCTTATCAGTAGAGACATATTTTCCTTAGAAGCTCTCAACATCAAGCCTCTCGTTTTACCTCACTGATGGCAACTGAGACCCACAGTCACTTCTAGCTATAAGGAAGGCTAGAAAAGTATCTTCTTGAAAGGGGAGGAGGTCCTCCCCTATCAGTGGACTTGGAAAGGGGCAGGGAGGAGACCAGGGAGGGAGTGTGGGGTTGGGGAGGGAATGAGGGAGCGGGATACAGCTGGGACACAGAGTTAACAAAATGTAACTAAAAAGAAAAATAAAAAAAAAGAATGTTGAAAAAAAAAAAAGAAAAATATCTTCTACAGCAAGAGGCTAAAACAAAGAAAAAACAAAACAAAATAGACACATGACGAGCTGTCTCAGGGAGATGTCTCAGTGGGCCAGATTTTCAGATTTCCAGAATTCATGTAAAATCTTGATTTATAATGCAAGCATCTGTAACTCCACTGCCCCTACAGGGAGATGTGGGATGGGAAATGGAGACTCCCCGGCTCACTGGTCAGCTAGCCTTGTATACAGAGCAGAAAGATAGCAAAGAAATGTAAGTAAAATAAGGTAAAAGATAAGGAATGGCATCTGAGGTTGTCTGAGGGTTCACGCACTTTCATGCACATACACACACACACACACACACACACACACACACACACAAACACAGACAACATGTTTAGTTGAAATTTTTCCTAAGCAAGCCAAGCGAGTTCTAGAAAAATTTCTGATATAATTCCAATATTTTATGTTCTTTTATGCAAGGGGTACAAGGAAAGAAACTACCAACATGAATGTTCCATTATTATAGGGTAAGGCTTTTGTTGTGAATAAGAGAGAGAGAAGATATCCAGAGACATCTAGACTCTATAAGAGTCTAGAGAAGAGAGAAAAGAAAGCAGAATGGACATGGCTATAACTAAGATGGAGAGCAGGAGAGACTAACAGAGATAGTGAGGTAGCAAGAGGTGGAGAATAGAGCATAGCAAGAGAGAAAGTGAAACACGGTATGGGTAGTGAGAGAGGGAAAGAAAGAGTAAGAGAGAAAGCAAGCAAGGAAGGGATACCAGGATATAAAAACAGAGAGGGAAAGAGAGAAAAAGAAAGCGAATAGCCTGTGATAGAGAGAGGGGATAGCAAGAGTGAGAATAAAGAGAATGGGGTGGACAAGTCATATGGATTATTAGGAGGACAAGTAGCTGGAGGGAAGGAAGGCTTTGGAGGCTAGCATGGTCTGTGAAATGTGTAGCGGGTACTCATGACCTGTGGGAGCCAGGAGGCCAGCATGGACTTTGATATGCTGATAGACACCACTGGTAGCCATTTGTTCCTTCTGCCAGAGGTAAGGGAAATGACTGCTTTTGGTCGAGGGGAACAAGTTTCACACATTCCTGAGGACTGCTGGCTTTTATCTAACTGCCAGAAATCCTCCTATAGTCCAGGTTGAACTCATTTCTAGCTGTATGGAGTAGCTGAGACCTAACACTTCTAAATCAACCAGCCACGCTTACCACTTTACTGCACTGAAGACTAAGGAACGCTGGGGCTCCTAACAGGTTTAAGGGCATAGTTGAGATCCGTAAGCATTTCTCAGTTTACTGACCAACAGAACTTGGGCCCAAAAGAAAATTTAACATGGAAGATTATAGGTGGTTTTATTGTTGTTGTTCCTAGCTTTAACGATAACATCTAACAGCACACAGATTTCTAAAACCAGAGAGAAGAGCAGTTTTGGCAAACTCCACTGTATATGTCAGCTCTTCAATTAAAATTTCATTTGTCCTCCCTTTTCAGTCACTTTAATGAGTGTCTTAGGGCTCCAACTTCCAAAAACCAACTATCATATAAACTGCATTAACCCAAAAGAAAAATAAACACACAGCCTATGGAGGCATCCTCCCCACTCTCCGCATAACCATAAAACAGGTGGCATTAAAAATTAAAATGCATCCCTGATGGCTGGCTAGATGCAAATCAAACCAACAGCCATAGACATGAGACGTTTGAAACCGTTATCAGCTGGCATTTCTCTGGCAGTGCCGCGTGGTCCAGCCGGCAGTGGCAGGGCTACATTCTCTTCCAATTCTTTCCACTGTGCACACTCAGATCAATTAGCCAGAGGCGTGGAGCACCTGTTGAGTGTAAATTGTTTCATGAACAGCTGCTCTGTCCCCAAAGTATACAGGCTGGATATTGAAAGACACTTCTAGTCTGGGGCCTACTGAGAGCATACCATGTTGATTTCCCAAGATGGAAAGCAATACATGTAACTGTATTTATGTGTACTGAGCATAAGAGCATTGAGCTTTTCCCAGACACTAGGTTAACCCTCAAACATTTCCCACTAGCCCCCAGACATCACAGAAGGAGATCTGAACATGTATTATTAATGATTCATTTACAGCCAACCGCTTGAGGAAATTGCTGCATTAATGGGCATCAGTATTCACTGGAATGTGGGAATAAGTTGAGAGTCATAACTCTGCCCATTCCAGGGTGTAGCTTTCTTAGTTACAGATTTCTGCATGGTGTCAGAAGACAAGGGGTGATAAAAGAAAACATATTTTTTGTAGGCATTCCGTAGGCAGGAATGCCTGGAGCTCTGGATGTCACTGTCCTCCAGAGACAGCTAAGCAATGCAAGAAGAAAAATGTCCTGATTCTTCTGTCTCTAATGCTGACACTCACACACCTGAAGGGCAGATAAATACACACACATAAATGAATGCTCATACATGCAAACCCACAAGTGTACACAACAGAAACATATACTCAGAAACACATGCACACACACAAACACACAACAGCGCGCATAGGCACATACGTAAACACACATGTATAAACACAAGCACATATATGACGACATGCACACATACACAGAAGGACACGCATGACAGATCCCCCCCTCAGCCTTCCGTGTGTTGTTCCCTGTTCCTGAAAAGTCAGTGTTCCTTCCCTCCAGACTCTTATGTCTTTAGAATTTGACCTCTCTAGACCCCAGAAAGAAAGTCAATTGGCATGTATGACAATCACAAAAGGCTGAAGAGGCTGCTCCAGGAGCAGCTGCATTGGGAAAGCCTGGCTTCTTCCAGACCTGGGGATACTAAAGGGACTCGGGGCTGGGGCTGGGAACAAACTTCTCTCCAGCACAGGGCCCTTTGTGGCCTCTAGTCCTAGATTTCCTAACAAAACAGCTCTCACAAATGTTTTCACTGTCTTTCAAACTAAGGCATTTGGCAAAATAAAAACTTTCCACAAAGCACCAAGGAAATACTCTGAGCTTAAAAGAAAAGGGTTTTTTTTTTCCCTCTTCCCGTTGAGAAGGGTCGGTTGTTGACTGCCTGAGCTGTGGCAGCTCCTATGAATGTGTAAACACCAGTGGCCTGTGCTAACCTAGCTTCAACGCTCAAAGATTCCTCAGAGAAAGCGGGAGGTCTCTGAGGAGAGGAGATTCACAGAAGCCCGCTGGCTTATCCAAACTGTACTAAGAGTTACCTGCACCTCTCAGGCCTGAGCATAGGCTACAACAAAAGAAATGCCTTGACTGAACTGCTTTCCTTGAGTAGTACTTTTTCATCCATCTGTACAGTTTTGCTTATGACTGGAGAACACTATAGCAATTTCTTTCTTCTCTCTCTTTCTTTCTCTCTCTCTCAAATTGCAAGCATGCCACTGTGCCTTGCATTTGCTCTTCTGTCACCTTACAAAAATGGCTTGAGATTACTCCTCTGGTCAAATAGCAGCAGAGAGCCCCCCTCCCACCCCCGCCTGTGTGGTCGGGGAGGGAGAAGGCACAGCGACTTCATGTGATAGATGCCCTTCCTGGGACCCCCGTCTCCACTCCTTCTTAATAAGTAGGTAGCCATGACAACCTCCAGGGAGGCCCGGAGAGTGTGCATCCGCCATCTGTTTTGCTCCACAGCCCCCAGCCAGGCAAGAGCTACAGGCATTCACAAGCCTGTCTTTCTCCAGTATGGCTGCTCCAGCCCAGAGATGGCTGTAGTCCTGGCTTTAAACCGATTTGCTTTGTCCATTGGCCTCTGCCTCTTCCTTGCCTGGCGACAGCGGCTACGCA